AGCTCTCTGCTGTGGCCTGGGAAAGCAGAAGATGGCCCAAGGCCTTGGGTTCTTGCACCTGCATGGGAGATCTGTAGGAAGTTCCTGGCTCCTGGCTTTGGATCAGCTCAGCTCCAGCCATTGTGGCTATTTGGGAAGTGAACCAGTGGGTGGAAGACCTCTCTCTCTCTCTCTGCCTATACCTCTTTGTAGCTCCACCTTTCAAATAAATAAATAAATCTTTAAAAAATAAGATGGAGGAGGCCTATTTCTGTACTAGCCTGCATAAAATTCCAAGACATATGTCTGAGTGAAAAACTCACAGTGCTTGAAGACTTTGTACATATCACCCAAATCCATGTGTAGGTAGAACAACCTCAGCCTCAACTAAGGAACTCTCTGTTATTCATGAATTTCCCCCATGTAACTCTTTTTATAGTTGTATGGGGTAAATAGCAATATTCTGACTTATTTCCAGTGAGAAACTGAGCTCTAAGAATTTAAAATTTGTTAAGTTCACATGAGTCAGAGGTAAAACCTCAGTTTTGCTGTGCTCTTATCTATTATGATTATGTTGTATTTCCATTTTACGGAACTGAATTATGGTCAAATGAGGCAATATATGGGAAAGTACTGTGTGAATATAAAAGCCAAAAGAAACCAAATAAAGAAAATATTGAATCTGTGAGTGGGAATATAGGAAGTTGTCATAGTGTCTGAGGAGGTACTTTTCATATGTTTTTAATGCCCTTTTGAAAATCTGATTGTCTCCAGATTAAATAGAAACATTTAGAAATTATGAGCTGATTCAGTATACTTTCATTATGGCCAATGATATGTGAGATATACAATGGTAAGAATTTTCCTAACAGATACATGTAGAATGTGGAAGAGAGAATAGCTTATGAGTGGCAGCATTTAGAATCTGAGTCATTTCCAGAGAGCAATAATTCCATTTTTTCCTGGATTAAAATCACCTTGAGAAGTGTGGAAAATTTTGAAAGAAAAAGTGATTTTGAAAATATGCATATAGCCCAAAGAAAAGAAATGTCTTGAATGCCAGTGGTTGAAGGTAGAAGGAGAGAGTGGTAGAAACATATTTTATTTAAAGACTGAAGAGTTTGATTCACACTGTAGGGTAATTTATTGATAGTACTGATAGAGGAATCTATTGTGAGTATGACCATTAATAATCGTTCATTTTTAAAAAATTTGCTGATCTGGAATTTTGAAATGCAAAAGATATAAAAAAATTCTGTTTTGATTTGTTTTAGTCATCAGTCAGACTTCCAAAGGAAACAAAAATGTGAACAATTATTGAATATTTTCTGAAGTTCTCACATTTGTCTACTAACATGCACAAATCTAAGGAGAAATAAAAATACAATTTCTGCTTTACCCTGGAGGAACTGTATTAGGAAACCAACTATGAGAAAAATATCATACAGCAATTCATAAACACTGAACACAATCCTTAGGAATAATATAGAATTTAAGTTAGTATTCATGTGATTTCCCTACTTATTCTTACATAAAACCTAAATTTTTACCTTAAGCAATGGATCATCATGATAGATAGATTTGCAATGTATTCACTTGTGAATTTAATCATTGGTTAATTCATCCAGTCCATCAAGCATGGATTAATCTGGTATCTTTCCTGTGTAGCCACTATTCTATGTTTTGGGGATACAGGGGTGCAGAGGTAGGAAGGGATTCTGACTTTGTGTAATTAGAGATGATAATACTGGACAATTAAATCTGAAAAATAGGGTGGAGTAAGGGCTAATGTAGGACAGATCTGTGAAGCAGAAAAACATGTCCTGAGGCTTCTCAAACATATTTCTGAAGAACACTTAACTTTTGGAATCATGCAAGAAAAGGGTTTAGACTGTTATTGGTCATTTATAGGAGGGTTATTTCTCCCGAAAGTAGGAGAACTTGAAAGCAACTATTACACTTATTTTAGAAGAAAAAGTAAACACTTCCACCAATTCAGGTTGGTCTTTAATTTAAAGGAAGAGAATTGAAATGGCTTCAGACTTGAGCTGTGCTGGCTCAAACTTGTGACACCAACCCAGCATCAAAGAATTTAGCATGCTAAAATTAAAATATCCTACCCAACACCAGGACCAAAATATCTCTGCCCAATACATGAATGGTTTTGTGTGTTAGTACCAGGCAAATGGGCATTTAAAAATGCATTATAAAGCAACCAAAAAATCCTATTAAAATTTAATAGGTATGTATATTTTTTAAAACTTGCAACTTGGGCCTGGTGCTGTGGCATGACAGGTTAAAGCTCTGGCCTGCAGTGCTGGCATCCCATATGAGCGCTGGTTCGAATGCAGTTGCTCCACTTCTGATCCAACTCCCTGCTAATGTGTCTGGGAAAGCAGCGGAGGATGGCCCAAGTCCTTGGGCACCTACATCCATGTGGGAGACCTGGAAGAAGCTCCTGGCTCTTGGCTTTGGGTTGGCTCAGCTCTAGCCATTGCGGCCATCTGGGGCATGAACCAGCAGATGAGAGACCTCTCTCTGTAACTCTTTCAAGTAAATAAAATAAATCTTAAAAAAAACACTTGCCACTTTACAATTATATTTAACATGTAACTATTAGACTCCTAGTCATCTTAAAAGAAGATGAACATCTTAAATCTGCTTTCTTGGTCAAGTGAAGTGACAACAAACCACATAAAGAACTATTAGCTATCAAAAATCCAAATAATTCTAATTGAAAAATACCAAGAAATAGAAACTGAGAAATGATGAAAATCTTCATTGACTTTATCCATCAAATGTAATTATGCATAAAATCTTGAAATTCTTTAAATTCAAAATTGAGGGAGAAAAATGGAGATGAGGACTATTTAGCAAGGATAATGATGGTTTAACAATATTCTTTTAGCATGATCACTCTTTTCTTCAAAAAACATGTGTTTTTGGAAATTAATATGTGTTGTACCTAGGCAGGAGAGTGTTAGAAATTTTAGGATTTACATACTTCATGTTTTAAAACTCCTGACAGCCATATTAAATTTAAATCTACAAGATGCCAATAGCTGAGTTTAGGAGATGTCATCACACTGCAAAGGTGGACTCTGCTTTAATCACTTATTGCAGACAAACGATGCCAAACTAAAGGGGAAACCTGTTGAAGTGAAATGGTCACTATGAGAAACAGGGACTTGATTAGCTCTTGTCATGACTGTTGATGTACACTGTAATACTTTATCCCTTTTAGTATTTTTTTTTTGTTCTAGTACTATGGTTGAACTCTGTAATCAACACACAATTATTCTTAGGTGTTTAAATTTTAACTGAAAAATGATCCCTGTTAAATATAAGAGTGGGAATAAGAGAGGGAGGAGATGTACAATTTGGGACATGCTCAATCAGACTTGCCCCAAATGGTGGAGTTAGAAACGTGCCAGGAGATTCCAATTCAATCCCATCAAGGTGGCATGTACCAATGCCATCTCACTAGTCCAAGTGATCAACTTCAGTTCACAACTGATCACACTGATAGGTCTAAGAGTCAAAGGGATCACACAAACAAGACTAGTGTCTGCTAATACTAACTGATAGAATCAAAAAGGGAGAGAACGATCCAACATGGGGAGCAGGATACACAGCAGACTCATAGAATGGCAGATGTCCTAAACAGCACTCTGGCCTCAGAATCAGCCCTTAAGGCATGCGGATCTGGCTGAAGAGCCCATGAGAATATTTTAGGCATGGAAAGCCAAAATACTCTGGCAAACAAACAAACAAACAAACAAAAAAACAAAAAAAACCCACCTAAATGAAAGATCTCTGCAAGTGAGATCCCAGGGGAAAGAATAAGCCATCAAAGAAGGAGGTACCTTTCTCTGAAGGGAGGAGAGAACTTCCACTTTGACTATGACCCTGTCAGAATAAGATCGAAGTCGGTGAACCCAAAAGGCTTCCATAGCCTTGGCAACTCATGACTAGAGCGTAGGGTGACTACTGACACCATAAACAAGAGTGTCAGATTGTTAAGTCAACAACAGGAGTCACTGTGTACTTACTTCTCATGTGGGATCTGTCCTTAATGTGTTGTCCAATGTGAAGTAATGCTATAACTAGTACTGAAACAGTATTTTACACTTTGTGTTTCTGTGTGGGTGCAAACTGATGAAATCTTTACTTAATATATACTGAATCAATCTTCTGTATATAAAAATAATTGAAAATGAATCTTGATGTGAATGGAATGGGAGAGGGAGCGGGAGATGGGAGGGGTGTGAATGGGAGGGAAATTATGGGGTGGGGGAAGTCAATGTAATCCATAAATTGTACTTTGGAAATTTATATTTACTAAATAAAAAAATAAATAAAAAAGAAAGGGTACTCTAGAAAAAAAATAAAAATTAAGAGCAGATGATGCAGAATAAGCATGAAATACTTTCATTGTCACAAACAAGAACCAGGTGTGGAGATAAGCAGCTTGGAGCTGAACTGGGCCACCTACCAGTGGGACTCATCTTCCACGCAAAGGGTAAGAGCTGATCACTAACCACACAGTCTGGCCACTGCCTTTTAATCTTGGGATGAAATGTCCAATCACAAAGGTAAGGTGGACCATTGGAAGGTGGAGGAAAATGTGAAACCTATCTTTAAAAAAATGCGTATTTTGAAATCAAACCACCTAATATGAGATGGAGAGGAAATGAATGAACTTTTCAATAAATAAGTAATTAACAGAGCTTCTGAATATGCTGGCTACTTCCCACTTAGCCAATAATCAACTGACAACTCATGAAGGCTGCCAAGCTATTTGCAAAGTGATTCTGACTTATACCTTAATTTTTTCTTCTAAAATGCCTGGTGGAAATTGGGTGATCTCTGGGAAGTCAATTCCTCTCTCAGAGCCTTGATTTTCTCATTTGTAAAATGTAGGGGTATGTCTAAGATTACTCTCAGCAACAGGTCTCCACATTTTTATCTACAAAATATGTATGTGCAAGGGAGCAATAATGTTTCTCTGTTTCATTCAGATGTCAAGTTTTGGCCACCAAAGCCTTTTTGCATTATTGGTTCCGGCTTCAAAGGAGAAGGAGCAAGGTAAATACATCTGTTACCCAAGAAAAAATATTAATTCTGCTCTTTTCGTCTTTATTTATTCACACTCATTAGAGAAAAGTTCTCTAATTCCAATGGGTCTATATGAAATAATCTACAGCTGGCTAAGAAACAGAAGACAGTAGAGAGGTGCTCTCAAGGGGCTGACAATGCCATAACCCAGTGGTTGCCAATTTTTAACATATACCAGAATCATCTGAATGGATATTAAGACACAAAAACTAAACCCACCTTTACAGTGTTTGACTGCATGGGTCTGGGGTTGAGACCAGGGATTGCATGTCTAATAAGTCCTCAAGGCTCTCACTTGAAGAACCATCGCACACTGAACTTAAAGATGCCAGCCATCCAGGTTAGTGAATGTGAAATTTTAATCAGGGCAGTAATCTGTTGAATTCATTAATTAGTGGATGGTTAAGCTTGTTATTATAAAGAAAATAGAAAATGTCATTGTAAAAATTAGAAGAAAAATAAGGAGGGCAGGTGGGAGTGAGTGAGAGAGTGAAGGAGGGTAGTATAGGAATTATCATTATCTCTTAAAACTGTATATATGAAATACACAAAATCTGTTCCATTTTTATAAAAAAACTACAAAATTAAAATTTAAAAAATCAGTTATCTTACTTGAGAGACAGAGAGAGACAGAGAGAGAAATTGATTCTGTTTGTTCAAATGTTCATAATGGAACAAGTCAATGCTTGGAGCCAGAAACTCAATCCAAGTCTCCCATGTGGATGGCAGGAAACTAATTACTTGAATCATCTTATTGCCTCCCAGCTTCTACATTAGCAGAAAGCTGGAGTCTGGAGACTGGAGCTGGTTATTGAACCCAGGCATCCCAACAGGGGACATCAAATACTTGCTCCAGCATCATTATTTCTGTTGTATTTTAGCACATACCACTGATAAGCACCATGGAATACAAATAACTTCAAATATGGAGATTTTTTCAAACCATGTCCCTGCTGAGTTTTTCATTTGAATAGAGCTAAAAGCATATCAAAGAGGAAACTACTGACAAACTCATAGTGTTGACATTAAAGTTATATTGAAGGCTATTCCCAATTCTGCTCTCAGATTGACTATATAAGTGGTGGGGCTCATTATGCACAAGTTATTAAAGATGTTCAGATGGTAACAGCAGAGTTAAAGCAAGAACACAGTTCTCTGAGAACAGGGCTTGTGTAATGATCCAGGTTACATGCCCATGAAACTTGTCTGACTTCTTGCCATTAGGATTATGAATTCTTGTTCTTTATGAATCAGCTGCCAGGAGTCAGAGAGGAGATTTGAAGGGCAATGGAGAAGGCAGGGATAACCACAGCATCCATACAGGATTAACAGGGATACATGTCATCAATTAAAAAAAAAAACTAAGTACTTACTGAATTCAATCCATTATATCACTCAATGGGAGTTAAGATCAACTTGTGGTCAATGAGCATTTTTAATCTGTTGGAAAAACAGCATATACATTTAAGAACAAATATATTTTAAACCCTATCAGGGCAAGGAAATACTGGTTTTATTAACCATTAACACCTAGGAGCTAGCATGGTTCTTAAATAAGGTAGATGATCATTAGTCCACAGTATTATGTGGTGGAGATAATTTATCTTCACTAGAGGCAGTGATCTGTCAACAGGCAGGCTATCCAGTCAGAGTGAGAATTCTCAATAAGCAGAATGAGAATGTTTGCTGACTCCAGGACAGAGAGCATTGTATTCTCATAACATTTTCAGTACCTAATAAATATTTGCTGAATTAAGTTGGATTGAATTACAGATGACAACAGCACAAATTGGTAAAGAAAGAACTTATTGTTATGCTGAAGAAAAAGCTGAAGTCATAAAGCCTTGGCTTGAATACTAATTCACTCACCATTTATGAGAATTGATACGACTGACCATTTTTCTGGCACCCCACTCTTCATCTTCTTTCTATGAAGAACTGGACAATGTGATAGGGTACAATGCAGGCACACCTGAATTTCCTGAAGGCTTATGCTAGCTCTTCAAAGAGGGGAGTGGGCATTTCATCTCATGGTTAATTTGCCAGTTAAGATGCCCATAACCCACATCAGAGTACCTGAGTTCAAATTCAGCTTCCTGCTCCTGACTCTAGCTTCCTGCTAATGCAGTGACCTTGGAGGCAGAGGTGATGGCTCAAGTAGTTGGGTTCCTGCCATCCATGTAGGAGACCTGAACTAAGCTCCTGGCTCTTTGCTTTGGACCCAGCTGTCGTGAGCATTTGGGGGAGTGAATCTATGGAAGGGAGTTCTCTGTCTGTTTGCCTGTCTCTCTGTCTCTCAAAGGAATAAATAATTTAAAAAATAAATACAATGAGGGACAGGAAAGGCAATTTCAGGCTATGGTAGTTGGTGAATTCTGGTGTGAGAAGGGCAGAATTAGAGGTGCAGCATTTAGCTCCAGAGTTCAGAGAGAGAGTGGAAAAAGGTTTGGAACATGGCTCTCAAATTCAATACTTGCGCAAGAGCCAAAAAGTTACATAAATGACTTGTGTTGTATTTTGAAGCATACAAGCTCCATTTATAAATGGTAGTCAATTATCATTGAGGGCCTACGGTTGTACAAATCCATATATTTATATGAAATATCTTGAAATATCTCAGTTTTTTTAAATGCTAGAAACTAACTAAAAATTTGAAAGTCACTCTGATTTTGGGCAAAAAATATAACTATCAACCACATCTGGCTGCCTGTGACCATCTCTGGCTTAGAAGGAAGGATAACCTCTCTGGTTAGACTGAGATGGAGCTAGGGTGGGACTGTGGCCTGAGAAATGGAAAGGGATCAGTATATGGAGGGCTTGAGTGGGAGATCAGCTGGTATAAAGTGCCTTGGCTTTCTTTATTTTATTGAACACATACCTTTATTCATTCATTTGGCAAATACTTAGCATTTCTTTCTTTCTTTTTTTTTTTTTTTTGACAGGCAGAGTGGACAGTGAGAGAGAGAGACAGAGAGAAAGGTCTTCCTTTTGCCTTTGGTTCACCCTCCAATGGCCGCCACGGCTGGCGCGCTGCGGCCGGCGCACCACGCTGATCCGATGGTAGGAGCCAGGTACTTATCCTGGTCTCCCATGGGGTGCAGGGCCCAAGTACTTGGGCCATCCTCCACTGCACTCCCTGGCCACAGCAGAGAGCTGGCCTGGAAGAGGGGCAACCGGGACAGAATCTGGCGCCCCGACCGGGACTAGAACCCGGTGTGCCGGCGCCACAAGGTGGAGGATTAGCCTAGTGAGCCGCGGCGCCGGCCAAACACTTAGGCATTTCTATGATGAGTCAGGCACAGTGCTGAGCAATGAGTGTCAATGAGCTCCAAAAATGAAATGCCATAGACTGGGTGGTTTAAACCGCAGAAATTTATTTCTCAGGGAGCCAGCATGGTTGGGTTCTTGTGAGGGCTCTTTTACTGAATTGCAAATGGCTGTCTTCCCACTCTGTGCTCAACTTCTTTGTGTACACTTGATGTATGTGAGTGTGAGAGAGGCAAGATCTCTGATATCACCTCTTTAAGGGTGGTAATCCTATCATGAGGGTGTCTACTCTGATGACCTCATCTAACCCTAAGGACTTTCCAAAGACTCTCATCCCAAATACCACATTAAGAATTAGGGCTTCAACATGTGGATATGGGAGCAACATTCAGTCTACAACAATGAGTATGATGTGAAGCCTACTCTAAAGGGATGTTACATCTGGATAGAAAGATGCTGTTCCTGTGTTTGTGACTCTTTGGCCACATACGCCATATAAAACCACAGATAAGCCATTTGGGATTTGGGATTTGGGATTGTAATCTCTGTGCTATGCTGAGCCAGGGGAAGAAGACATCTGAAAAATTCTTAAGGAGAAGATGGGTTTTATGCCAAGACTCTAAATGTCTGTAAATTTAAACACAAAAAGATGAGCGGGAGATTGCAGAGAGTGGGAACAGCATGAATAAGGACATGAGTGTAAATGGGAAATATTTATAGGGAATACTGGGAAGTTTCAATTAACACAAGATGGCCAGTGGCCAGGTGCTGGAGTCATTTTAATTTTAGGTGGAAGAGTTTGGCCTTTATAGGCAGTGAGGCCATTGAATTTTGTGGTGAGGAGTAATATAATAAGAACTGTGCTGAGCATTGATTAATCTGAGTGCAACGCATACGATGGAGTGGAAGATGGGGGAAGAGAGCCATGAAATTCTTAAACGTCCTGGTAATACTCCATGAGAATATAGACACTTGACCAATGTAATGGCCTAGGGAAAGGAGTAGGGAAAAAGTCCACAAGACATTTAGGGCTCCAGACGAATGCAACAACTGTTCCATATAATGGATAGATGGGAGAGAGGAATCAAAGATCATTCTGAGAGTTTTAGCTTCAGTGGTCCAAACACAAATAGGAAGGCAGGAGCAGATCTGGAAGTTGGAGTTGGGGGGAGAGGCAGGTGGACACATTTAATTCTATTGTGCACATGCTGGGTTTTGAGGTACTTGGAGGATATCTATTACACATGCTTTATACAATTTTTCTTCTCATGTCAGGCAAGAGGTGCACAATGCTCTTGTATTCAGTCTAAAGACTGAATGCTGGCATGTAAACTGACCAATAAACTGTTCAAAAACTCTTCCACTCTGTTCCCATTCAGAAGATCTATGCACCTGAAAGAGAGACCCCCAACTGCTGGACCAAACTGCCCTGTAAGTAGGGCCCTCAGGTAAAACAGTCGCTCAGCGAACAGCCTCTTTTCTATGAGCTGTCTGGCAGCCACACATCAGTATAAGCTTTTAAAAAAGCTCTCAGAAAGGCAAGAAGGCTGAGGGCACACAGAGAAGTCACATATTTACTCTGTATTGTCACCACAGAGTGCTCACCCTTGTCTCAGGCCTCCCTGCTATGGGACAACCGAATGACAATCAATGATATGTGATATGTATGATATATGATATTTGCCTATACAGACTGAAGAGCCTTTGAGAGTCAGGCTCATAGCATGTGTGAAAATCAAACAATTTCTGGGCTTTTCTGCATGAGGCTTTATTTTCAAACACTGCAGAATGTGTTAATGTACCTAAAGGCCACCAACTCCAGCCTCAAACTCAGTGAGCTCTGCTGGGAGAGGGAGATTGGAGGGCCTTTTATTCATTTGGTAATTATACAGCAATGGGTATTTCATGCATTTTTAGAAATAGAGCATGGAGTAGGGAGAGAAAGGCAGGCACTTAGTACCGTGAAAGCTCTGGTCGTGTGGCTGGGCCTCAGAGGCACCACTGCAGTCTCTTTGGGGCGGCCTGTCCGGCACTCGCCCTGGCTGGCACCGGGCATGAGAAGAAATGAGAGGGCAACCTGGCATTTTCTTATTTGTTTATTTTAACCTCTCAGGCCTGCTGAAAACAACTGGAATCTTCTGAGTTTCTGAAAGCACATAAGCTTCTTTGATGGAGTTCTTGGCCCTGCCATCCAAAAGCCAAAGGAGCTCATTGATTAAGCTGTCGGGTGACCAAGCTCTCTGTGAATTCAGGTCAGACCAGAGGCGATGGTTAATAGCAAGCAGGTAACTGTCCCTAATGCAATCTTTACTATAGCCTTCAAAGCTTGACATGAAAGAGTATTCCACTGAAATCCAGGCTGCAAACTAGAGCATATTTTGGGTTTTGGCATCTGCCCGTGGAAACGCTGGGAAAGCAGAGATAAAAAGGTAGAAAGGAATGATTCAACACAGCTGGAGAGAATCCATGTAGGTAGCCAAGGATAAGTGTCTAGGTTAAAGGGCAACCCAGGGCTTTTTTTTTTTTTTAAGGGTTAAAGTGGATCAGCCTTGGGGTTGGTGGACTGCGAGGATTGGTTCACAGAGAACCCAGGCTACTCATCAGGTTATTGCCAGGGATGGCCCCATGGAATGAGCTAGTGTCCAGCCAGCCCTTCCTTGACTGCCTTTTGTGCATTTGCTTTCTTCCAGGGGGACAGGACAGGGGATAGAGAATGGGGTGTTGACTTGTCGGCTCAGTAGTTTAGTCTGGTTTTGCTTGAGTCCAAGGACCAAGTGTGAGGCTAATGAGCACGTCTGTACCCTTAAGTTCCTCAAGTTCCTTGTGGTTCCTGTTGATGAATCAAACCAAGTATTACAGAAATCACCAGGCTTCAACAGTTTAATCTAAATTAGATCAGGGTGATTATTATTAGGAAAACTTATTGGGTTCGGATTTGGGGAAAATCTGAGAGTTTCAGTACCTGAAGCATTGTTGGAAAGCTGGGTTTACCAGTAATTAGCAATGTGACCTAGATCAAAATATTTGTCCTTTCTTAGAGAAGGAGCTATACCGAGCACTTGCTACCTACTTTGCCTTACGCAGAGGGCTTTACTGGTATCCTCAAAGTTTTCTTCAAACACTCCTATGACAAAGGTATTCAGTTATCCTCCAGTATTTTATGTTACAACAAATGTCTAATTGTGTGACTCAAAACTCAATTTCTTTCCTGTAAAATAAGGGGTTGAATGATTAAATGTGTTTTTAGAAATAGAATGATTAAAAAGTGCCTTCTAGGGATGGGCATTTGGCATAGCAGTTAAGATGCAGCTTGCAATGTTGGAGTGCCTGGTTTCAAGCCCCAGCTCCATTCCTGATTCCAGCTTCTTGCTAATCCATATCCTGGGAGATAGCAGGTGATGGCTCAAATGATTGAGTCCCTGCCACCCACATAGAAAACCCAGATTCAGTTCTAGGCTCCCAATTTCAGCCTGGCCCAGCCCCAGTTGTTGCAGGCAATTGGAGGAGTAAACACGTGGATGGGAGATCTCTGTCTCTCAGCCTTTTGAATAAAATGGAGATAAACAAAGCAAATTATTAAAAGTACATTCTAATTCTGATATGTAGCTGAGCTTTTTTTTTTTTAAGATTTATTTATTTATTTGAAAGTTACATTTACACAGTAAGAGAAAGAGAGAGAGATCTTCCATCCACTGGTTCACTCCCCAAAAGGCCACAGCAGCAAGAGCTGGGCTGGTCCAAAGCCAGGAGCCAGTAGCTTCTTCTGGATTTCCTATATGAGTGGCAGGGGCCCAAAGACTTGGGCCATCTTCTGCCACTTTCCCAGGCTCATTAGCAGGGAGCTGGATCAGAAGTGGAGCAGCCAGGACTTGAACCGGCACCCATATGGGATACCAACATTTCAGGTAGCATCTTTACTCACAATGCCAACCCCTTTAGCTGAGTTTTAAGCTTTAGAAGAGTACCAACAAATTATTTTCTAAAAGTTGGGAAGAATCAACTAGGAGGAAAAAGGAGAGGGATCGAAATAGCTTAAGACAGTTTTCTAAATGTAGACAAAAATCTACCTTGCTATCAAGAGCAGTTTCTTACTGGGCTTCAGTAGTTAATAACTTCACCAGTGGACTTTCACATTGTATTCATTTGCTAGGCCTACCATAACAAAATACCACAGGCTGGGTGGCTTAAACAACAAAACTTGTTTTTTCACAGCTGGAGGGTGGAAGTCCAACACCAAGGTGCTGACAGGTTTGGTTTCTCCTGAGGCCTCTTTCCTTGGATTGCAGGTAGCTGCTTTCTCACTGGCTTCCTCCATGCATCAGAATTAGACACCATAGCCATGGTGTCTCCTCATTTGCCCAATTTCCTCTTCTTATTTTGACACAGTCAGATTGGACTAGCACCCACTCTAGCAGTCTTATTTCAGCTTAATCACCCTTTTAAAGACTTGATTTTCAAATATAGTCATATTCTGAGGTACTGGGGGTTACAGCCTTAAATTATCAAATGGTAGAGGGCACAACTCAGCCTACAATAGACTTATTGGTCATTAAAAAAAAACATTGTGTGTCAGCAAGTCAGTAATTTTCTATTGATTTTACAGTTGAGAAAATTGAAACTCAGAAATGTTAATTTGAGAGTCTAAAGTTGGGGCTAGTGTTATGGCATAGTGGCTGAAGTGGCCGCCTACAGCACCAGCATCCTATATAGGTTCTGGTTCATGTTCTGTCTCGGTTAGGTTTTCTATGTCTTCATGGCTCAATATAGGGAGGCTCTGTGTGTCCAGGAATCTAGAACATTCTATTAGGTTTCCTGTTTTTTTGTCATACAGCTTTTTGTAGTAATTTCTGATGATTCTTTTTATTTCTGTGGTGTCTGTTGTTACATTTCCTTTTTAACCTCTAATTTTATTGATTTGTGTCTTCTCTCTCCTTTTTTTTGGTTAGTTGGGCCAATGGTGTGTCAATTTTGTTTATTTTTTTCAGAAAACCAGCTCTTCATTTTGCTGATATTTGTATTTTTTCTTTGGATTCAATTTTGTTTATTTCTTTTATAATTTTAATTATTTCTTTTCTACTACTAGTTTTGGTTTGGTTTGCTGTTGCTTTTTTAGGTCCTTGAGATGCATTGATAGCTCATTTATTTGGTGCCTTTCCAATTTCTTGATGTAGGCACCAATTGCTATAAACTTTTCTCTTAAAACTGCTTTTGCTGTATCCCATAAGTTTTGATATGTTGTCTTGTCATCTTCATTTGTTTCCAGAAATTTTTTGATTTTTCTTTTGATTTCTTCAATGACCCATTATTCATTCAGGAGCCATTCTAATAGGGGTGAGGTGAAACCTCATTGTGGTTTTGATTTGCATTTCCCTGACAGCTAGTGATCCTAGTGATCCTGAGCATTTTTTCATTGTCTGTTGGCCATCTGGATTTCCTCTTCTGAAAAATTCATGTTTGAATCTGGCCTTGTCTAAATAAGATCAGAGTTTGTGAACTCAAGAGGCTTCCATAGCCTTGGCAGCTCATGACAAGAGCCTCAGGTGATTATTGATGTCATAAATAAGAGTGTCAATTGTTAAATCAACAACGGGAGTCACTGTGCACCTGCTCCCCATGTAGGACCTCTGCCCTTAATGTGTTGTACTATGAGAATTAATGGTAAAACTACTGCTCAAACAGTACTCTATACTTTGTGTGTCTTTGTGGGTGCAGTCTGTTGAAATTTTACTTAGTATATACTAAGTTGATCTTCTGTATACAAAGATAATTGAAAATGAATCTTGATGAAGAATGGGATGGGAGAGGGAGTGGGAGATGTGATGGTTGCGGGTGGGAGGGTGGTTATGGGGGGAAAAACTGCTATAATTCAAAAGTTGTACTTTGGAAATTTATATTTATTAAATAAAAGTTGAAAATAAAAAATTAAAAAAATATGCCTGTTTAAGTCCTTTGCCCATTTCTTAACTGGATTGTTTTGTTGTTGTTGCGTTTCTTGATCTCTTCATATAGTCTGTTTGGTAGTCCTTTATCAGTTGCATAGTTTGCAAATAATTTCTCCCATTCTGTCGGTTGCCTCTTCATTTGCTGTTTCTTTTGCAGTACAGAAGCTTCTCAATTTGATGTAATCCCATTTGTCCATTTCGGCTTTGATTCCCTGTGCCTCTGGAGTTTTTTCCAAGAACTCTTTGCCTATGCCAATGTCTTGTGGGATTTCTTCAATGTTATCTAATAATTTGATGGTATAGGATTGTAGAGTTAGTTTTTTTTTTTTTTTGACAGCCAGAGTTAGACAGTGAGAGAGAGAGAGACAGAGAGAAAGGTCTTCCTTCCATTGGTTAACCACCCTCCCAAGTGGCTGCTATGGCTGGTGCATTGTGGCCAGTGCACTGCGCCGATCCGAAGCCAGGAGCCAGGTGCTTCCTCCTGGTCTCCCATGTGGGTGCAGGGCCCAAGCACTTGGCCCATCCTCCATTGCACTCCCGGGCCACAGCAGAGAGCTGGACTGGAAGAGGGGCAACCGGGACAGAACTGATGCCCCAACTGGGACTAGAACCCGGGGTGCCAGTGCCGCAGGCAGAGGATTAGCCTAGTGAGCCATGGTGCTGGCCTAGAGTTAGGTCTTTAATCAATGTTGAGTGGATTTTTTGGTAAGGTCTAAGGTAGGGGTCTTGCATTATACTTCTGCCTGTGGGGATCCAGTTTTCCCAGCACAATTTGTTGAAGAGATTATCCTTGCTCCAGGGATTGATTTTAGCTCCTTTGTCAAAGATAAGTTGGTTGTAGATTTTTGGATTGATTTCTGGCATTTCTGTTCTGTTCCATTGGTATATAGATCTGTTTTTGTACCAGTACCAGGCTGTTTTGATTATAACTGCCCTGTAGTATGTCTTGAAATCTGATTATGTGATGCTTCTAGCTTTGTTTTTTGTTGTATAAGACTGCTTTAGTTAGTCAAGGTCTCCTGTGTTTCATATGAATTTCAACATCATTTTTTCTAGATCTGAGAAGAATGTTTCTGGTATTTTGATTGGCATCACATTGAATCTATAAATTGCTTTTGGTAGAATGGACATTTTGATGATATTGATTCTTCCAATCCATGCAGATTGAAGATCTTTCCATTTATTAATGTCTTCTATTTCTTTCTTTAATGATTGTAATTCTCATTGTAGAGATCTTTGACATCCTTGGTTAAATTTATTCCAAGTATTTGATTTTTTTTGGTAGCTATTGTGAATGGGATTGATCTTAGAAGTTCTTTCTCAGCTGCTGCATTGTCTGTGTA